AGTTGTGTTCACTTCAGCCGGTGGTGTAAGATCTAAAGACAGAATGCAACTATGGAGACAGATCATCTGGAGGCAGCCCTTCAGAGTATCTCTAGAGCATTCTACAACACAAGGGAGAAGTGATGAAGGTGAATATCTTATTCTGTAAGACAACAGACGATGGTAATGTTTATTAAGTGATCACTCACACCTTCCATTTTTTTGAAGTGAGGTACTAGAATTTGTGGTGATATATTATTTATGATTTATTAAAGCTTGCCCGAAGATTCTGAAAGTAAAGCCAGCCTCAAACTATAGAGATCAGGCAGCAGTGACACACACTTTTAATTCCAGGACTCTGGGTTAAGAGGTAGACAGATGTCTGTTACTTCAAGGCCACACTGACTACACAAAATTGATACAGTTGATACAGTCCTAAAAAAAAAAAAACAACTCAAACAAAGGTGATCTCAGCACCTGGAATCACAGGCCTTTACTCCCAGCATTGGGGATGTACATAAGACAGGAGCAGGATCTCAGAGCTGGCATTCAGTCTGAGAATTAGTCTCTAGCCGTGCTGAGGAGAGCATAGCAGTCTGAGTGAATCCGAGGAGCAGTGAAGTCAGGAGCAGTTTGAGGATCACCCCTTTGGTCTGAGCTGAGGTAGAGGTAAGATCTAGTGACTGACTGCTTTTCTTTTCTGATTTGAAGCTTGAAGCCCAATATCTGTCTCTGGGTATTCTATTTTTCATGCTATAAATGATTTAAAATGGAACAATTAAATGAAGGGATAATCAACTTAGCTGGGATTGCCATACTGTTAATTATTTTGAAAATCTTTGTTGTTGTTTTGATGATTCTTGATTTATCTGTAAAAATGTTGATTGATATGAGTGTAAGATGCAGCCCTTAGAAAAACTTATTAAAATAGATTATAAAGTCATTCAAACCCAGGCTGAGGAATTACATAGAGAACCAAATTCAGCATTGCATTTTAAGGTTAAAAAGGAACATTCTAAGGTCTTAAGAGAACAACTTTAATATATTCAGTGACCTTACTAGACAAGCCAAATGAAAGAGATTCTATAAAAGCTACTTGGAAGCCTGTGACAATGTTAGTTTTAGGGAAGCAGTAGTCTCTTTTGCATCCATTTATCATTTGTGAGGCAGATGATAAACATGTAATCAGTTTGTAATCGCTATAGATTGGACATATTTGATTAAAGCTGTCCTAGAACCTGGACCACAAATACAATGGATATCTTGGTTCAGGGAAGAGGCTAAGAATATTGAACAAAAGGCTGAAGCTAGAGGTAGAGACATCTCCCAAGATCAAATTCTTGGAGAAGGACATTATGCTACTTTAGAAAGACAATTCTAATATGATGATAATCTCTTGGGTTTAGTCAATGCAGTTTATGAACATTAGGGTTTTGTTTTGTTTTGTTTTGATTTGATTTTTGGTTTTTGAGACAGGGTTTCTCTGTGTAGCTCTGACTGTCCTGGAACTCACTCTATAGACTAGGCTGGCCTTCAACTCACAGAGATCTGCTTGCCTCTGACTCTGAGTGCTGGGATTAAAGGCATGTGCTACCACCACCGGGAACACACCAGATTTTTAGACTCAACTCAAGCTGCTGAGAACAGTGACACACACCTATCTGTTATCCCCACACTCGAGAGCTTAGGCTAGAGAATTGTGAATTTGAGATCAGCCTGGGATACACAGTGGGACCCTATCTCTAAATAAATAAACAAGGCACAGGATACATAGTGAAAGTATGCAATATTAACCCATTTGACAAATATGTGAACACCCTCTATTTGCCAAGAACTTTTCTAAGCCCTGAGAATAAAGTGACCAACAATACAAGCCTCTGAATCTCAAGACTATTACATTTTAAGATGACAAGGAAAACGTATGAAGAAAATATGCAGTCTATCAGGTAATTAGCATCAAAAAGCAGTCTAGAAGAGGGCAATGAGCTAAATTACTGTAATAGAGACATCTACTGTCCTTACAACCACATGGTCTGGTCTTGCCTGACAGACCAGCAAGAAGAGATATAACAGTATGATACAGTTGCCAGGCAGCTAGTATTGATACTTGTGGGGAGGGTGACCTCCCTCCTCAAGCCTGACCACAAACAAGTTAGGGTAGGGAAAGGGTGTTCTTATCTGAAGCACAGATTATGCAGCTATCTCTTGTTTCCTCTTGTGGAAGCCCAGAGACCAGGAGAGATCATCTTACTTTGAAAGCTTTGGTTGTGATACATAAAAGCCAGTAAGCTCAAGCAAGAAACAGGACACTATATAAAACTGTTCGAACAGATCATCAATAGATCTTCCTGAAAGGAAAGAGAAGGAGAGAAAGATGGATATTAAAAACTCAAATGAGTTGGAAAGGATATTGCACACGGCCAACGAAAGATTTTTTTAAGGAGAGAGCAGACTTAAATCTATCCCAAATGCAATCCAGAGAACCTACAAGGAGATAGAAACTATAAAGAAGATTTAAGCCAGGCAGTGATGGCACACAGCTTTAACCCCAGCACTCAGGATGTGGAAGCTGGCAGATCTCTGTAAGCTCAAGGCCGGCCTGATCTACAGATCGATTTCCCAGCCAGGGCCATTACACAGAGAAACCCTGTCTTGGGGAAAGAAAGAAAGATTTGAGTCTTGGATGTCACCTGGCTCTCATACACATGTCATCGGAATTTGTCATTGAGATAGATGTGGGAGATAGAATATTCGGAGAAAATAGTTGAGAATTTTTCAGAATTGCTGAAAGAACAGCATACTTAGTCAAAGCAGGTATTTGGGGTTTTGACCCCTTGTCTATAAGTAAAATGGTTTCCGAATCACAGTCCAGAAGTCTGTCTCTCCTTGAGCATCAGTTCACAGTTTTCTAGGGGCTTTCACAGAGAGCTACACAATGGCAAGCATTGAATTGCACCCCAGCCCCTGAGCTAGGTAAAACGCTTACTATGCAAGCATTTTAGAACGCATTCAGTCCCTGGAACCTACAAAGGAAGGATAGAATCAACTTCTGAATGCAGCCATTGACCTCTACATGAATTCATGTGGGCTATTGTACATATACATACACTCCCTCACTCTAAGATATACAATAATAATAAAAAATTTAAAACAATTTATTTATCTTTATGTTATGTGCATTGGTGTTTTGCCTGCATGTATGTCTGTGTGAGGTTGCCAGATCTTCTGGAACTGAAGTTACAGACAGTTGTGAGCTGCCGTATGGGTGCTGGAAAAGCACTAAGCCATCTCTCAATAATTTTTTTAAGTAGAAAAAAGACATTTACTAGTGTGACATACACTGTACATTGTCTAAGTGTCATGGGCACAGTAGCTGGTACCAGTGAATTTGGTTGATTCTCTATACTTCTCAAGCTCCCTCCCTCCCTCCCTCCCTCCCTCCCTCCCTCCCTCCCTCTCTGGCATAATAGGTTGCTTCTTTGTCCTAAGTCCCTGTCCTCTTTCCTAGTCTATTCTCAGTCCAAGAAGTGACATAAGACAACATACATTTCCCAAGTCAATGAAGACGTACCCAGCTCTCAGGGTGCTGTTTCTACACTGGAATTTCCACTGCGCCCTCTCCATCCTTCTGTAAGGTTACCAATGATCCTCTGCTCATAGGAAACCTGCCACCGGTCTGAAAGCATCTATCACTCCTTCAAGATTCTTCTCAAACTCGGGCCCTGGCTGCTCAAGGCTTTAACATTAATGAACCCATCGTCAACACTGTTTATTGGTTTCTGTGCTGTGGCATACTCTGTCTCCTGGGCATACTTGTTGTGCGATGGGAGCTCAAGGAATTCTTAGTGAATAAATGGCCCAGAAAGTCTTGGCAAACTGGTGGACAGGTGTGGGCAGGACAATGCTCACCAACCCTCGATTTCATATACTTCTTGTAGGAAATTTACCTATATAAATAGTTGGGACTGCCTTCAAAGACTAAGCTTCAAGGCAGCACACTAAAATCCTATTTAAATATTAACCTTTGATAAGCAACCTTAAGTCCTTCAATTGATTAAATAAACAAAAAATACACACTAGTCATTGAAATCACAGATAGAACACATGTGTATATAGTAATATTTGATCAGAAGACAATGTTGTGGGTGGGACGGTGGTGGCACACGCCTTTAATCCCAGCACTCGGGAGGCAGAGGTAGGCGGATCTCTGAGTTCGAGGCTGGGCTGGACCGATAGCCTCCAAAACAATACAGAGAAACCCTGTTTAGTAAAAAAAAAAAAAAAGACAATGTTGTGGTCCTCATGAGTTCGTGTAACACTGCTACTAAATCAGACTGCTGACAGTGAGGTCTGGGTGATGCCATTTCAATGATTTTAGAATCTGGTTCTGAAAAAAATCTGACTTTTCTACGACTAGTCATCATTCTATAATTTTTGTTTTGTTTGTTTTTGTTTTGCGAGACAGGGTTTCTCTGTATTGCTTTGGAGACTGTCCTGGAACTTGCTCTGTAGACCAGGCTGGCCTTGAATTCACAAAGACCCACCTACCTCTGCTGGGATAAAAGGTGTGTGCCACCAATGCCCGACTTATAATTTTTTTAAAGGAGGGTTTTATTTCTAAAGGAAAGAGATTTTTCCTTTCCTCATATCCCCAGGATGTCCCAGGGGCCTGGTCTGCACAGGTACTTCGTAGCCTAATTCCCTAAACAAAAACACGGGAGGAGAAGATGGCCGTTCCAGTGAACAGTTCCATCCAAACTGACTGGATAATTTCTTTTGTTTTTGTTTTTTTGTTTGTTTGTTTGTTTGTTTTGTTTTTTTCGAGACAGGGTTTCTCTGTGGCTTTGGAGGCTGTCCTGGAACTCGCTTGGTAGTCCAGGCTGGTCTCGAACCCACCTGCCTCTGCCTCCCGAGTGCTGGGATTAAAGGCATGCGCCACCAATGCCCGGCCCTGACTGGATAATTTCTAAGGTTTAGTGATGGAAAAAAAAATCTCCTAATTAGCCTATTTTGCTTTCCAGACAAAATGCCTCTCCAAACTTCGCGCCCACTCCGAAGCTGCTCCAGGAGGGCGTCTTGGAGGGAGAATGCTGGCACTCAGCTCACATTTACTGGACTTTGCACAGCTGGAACCAGCGCCCTGGGCTGCAGCTCTTCCCGGAGTTTGCAAGAGGCCCAGACAGGCCCGCTCTGAGCTCCGCAGCCCGGCGTCCCCGAGTGTCACACTGGCAGGCGGCCTACTCGCTGACTCCACTTCCTCTGCTCGCTTTCCCGGAGGTGCCCGCCCACGCCACCGCCACTCCCCCACTGAGAAGTCACGCTCTGGTCTCTGAGCTGCTCGGAAGCTGCCGCGAGGAGAAGTAGTGGCATGTGGACGAAGGAACTGACAAGGGCCCTAGAATGGGACCAAGAGACAGCCCTTAGCCGTGACTGTCTTTAGTTAGTTTAGTTCCTGGAGACTGAATTTCGATCTTCTGCCTGCAAAAGAGGGTGCTGATCTAGACCAACTCAGTCTGTCCTCTGCCCGGTGTCACTGTCCTGAAACCCAGGTCCAGACGTTTCTGGGAGCGCTGCAAAAAGGAGGCGAAAAAAGCGCCCCCCCCCGAGGAGGACAAAATCGCTCTGATCTCAAACCCACTTCTCTCCTCCTTTCTCCTCTGTATCTCATTTTCACTGTATATCCCAGGTTGGTCTGTGGCTGTCTATCTTGCCACAATCCTCCTGCCTCAGCTGGCATAACAGGAGTGCGCCTCCGCAATCCGCACCTCCCAACAACGGATTCGATAAATGTTCGGAACCCCAGCATCTTACTGAAAATACCTTTCAGCTTTTTCCGACAAATTCCACAGCAGCACCCTAGGGCCCCAAGCACGCGCACAGACACTGGAAGCAGCGTCGCAGCCAATACCGCCATTCATTTGCATCTCAGGAGCCTGCCCCATGTCTAGCCTGTCCCCTGACTTCGAAGAGAAGCTAATAATAGCGTGTACGTCAGGCGGACTACAACCTGAGGAGTGCCCATGAGCCGTCGTGCGTGAGTCACCGGGACTGCACTGGGCTCTGCGCCACCCCAGGAAAGTGATGGTGGCGGGGAGGCGGACCTTTTACCCCTCCGGGAGGAGGTGGCACAGGATCCCCGAGGGCGAATGGGAGCCCCCAGTTTCGGCCGGGCCCGGATGGAGCCGCCGGGAAGTAAGATGGAAATTGTTGGTATGGTGGTGGCCTCCCCCGCTTCCTGCGGGGTCCCCCGCCGCGGCCCCATTGCACAATCCCTGTCGTGCAACTGCCGCGTGACTCGCACCCAGCCCGAAATGGTTCCCAGGTTTCCCAGCTTAGCAGAAAGCCTCGGCGTCTCCGCCCTAACCTCAGGCACCCTCCAAGCCTTATTTCTTCGGGTGGGGGACTGGGAAGAATGCATTTGTCAAGGAAAGGCAAGCGCACTCCCCTCCAGCTGCAGGCTGGCGCAGGGTGGCCTTTCTATGTGGTACACTTTCAGGCAACACGTGCTTGGGGGTTGGGGTAGAAGCAAGCATCTGTCATAAAGGAAGAAGAGGGAAGCTGTGCTAGAGAGCCAGCCTGTCTCTAAAAACCAAAACAAAAAACAAACAAACAAACAAAAAAAAGCAGTAAGTCTAGCAATGTCCCAGCAAGGTATCAGTAACTCTGTAACTCACTTCAGTTATCTCCACGAATTGAGGAAGAGAGGGACCATGAACAAATATTTCTCCAAGATCGAATCTAAAATGTCAGGTTTCCGACTGACCTCACTTTGATGGTTAAGAACGTCCGTGTCCTGCCAATGTGATAGCTTGTTTAGGAGTAAATTGTCAAGAGTTGCTCTAAACTGGTCTGTATCATTCAGGCTTGGAATGCATTTGCTGCACATCCTTTAAAAACACACAATCTGTGAAAATATAGGGGACTTCAATGACAGGCTTGCAGGCTAGCTTGTTGTCTTTGGCATTTTCAAGGGTGACCGACCACACCTAATGTTAGGCACCAGATGCCTAACAAATAGATGTGAAGATCAAAGGAACCAAAATTAAAAGTGGTAATCACGAATAAAGGTAATCTTTTGTGGGTTATAAAAACTTTCTGCAATGATAGTTGTAATTCAATCATAATAATGCAACTCAAATATAAGCCCTGTCCCTTTTTGAGACTGGGTTTCTCTGTGTAAGAGCCCTGGCTGTCCTGGAACAAGCTGACCTTGAGCACGTGAAGAGCTACCTGACTCTGCCTCCCGAGTGCTGGAATTAAAGGCCTGTGCCACCACACCCAGCTCCAAATACAAACTGTTACCCGTGGAGAAGTTCATGCTATGGGGATGGCAACTCACAACCATCTTAACTCCAGCTCTAGGGATCTGACACCATCTTCTGACATCTCAATGCACATAGGTATACTCCCTATATACATAAACAAATAATAAAATAATAAAATAAATCTGAAAGGAATTTGTAAAGTTGACCTAGGCACAGTAGCACATGCCTATAACCCCAGCACTGGGGAAGCAGAGGCAGAAGGATTTTGAGTTCATCAGCCTGGGCTACATAGTAAATCCCCCAGGTTGGCATGGGGTATAAATACAAGACTCCACCCTCCCCCCCAAAATAATAAACTTATAAAAATAAACATATAAAGTTATTATTGTAAGAATAATAACTTTATATAATATTTATTGGTACTGGATTAAAAAACTGTATCTGAAGATTCTAGACCTATATCCACACATATGTAAATGGGGCTTGGAGAATGAAGAAAGGCAGGATCCTTCAGTAAGTAGTGTTGGAGTAGTATAACTCTTAAACGTTTGTGTATTCTTAAATGAATACAAACAATAAAGAATTACATTAAATAAATGGAATACATTAAAGCTTGGGCATTTGTTCAACAGATTTCACAAAAAGCCTGTCATCAAAGAAGATATATGTATGAATATGGAATACATAATAGGAAAAATGACTAGAAACCAAAACAGTTTCTTTGCAGAAGAGGAAATCCAAATTCTCACAAAACCTTGTAAGAGATGAAGTATTATTTAACCTTGTAAATAAGGAGGGAAATGCAAAGTTCAACTTCACAGGGACATCTTTGCATACCTAACAGACAATTCCAAAGAAAGAGGAATACTGGGCAACAATGGAAACTCATGTACCCTGCAAGTGAGCACGTGACTTTGTACAAGCACTCTGAAATATAGCTGGTACTGCTTACTATAAGCAGCATGTAAATAGCCAGTTCCTGGCCACCTACTATAGTGCAAACTCTCTCGCTTAAGAACATTTACGGGAGGTTGAAGAACTTTATGGAGCTTTCTTGCCTATTGTGCACAAGGCTTTGGGTTAAATTTCCAATACCAACAAAAACAAGGAGAGAGAGGAGGAGAAAGTGGAGGAGGAGGAGAGGAAAAACATGCACATTAATTTTCATAGCACCACTGTCCCTAATAATAAGAGAATTGGAAGCAATCCAAATATGTGCCAAGAGTAGACTATATAATAGTATCTTCCTACAGGGAATGCTACAGAGTATGAAAGTAATGGACTATCATTAACATCTGTGACAGAAACAGTGCTGGAAAATGCAAGTCAGAGGAAAATATATTCTATGAGTTCTCATTCTTCCTAATGCTGTGACCCTTTAATGCAGTTCCTCATGTTGTAATGATCCCCGATCACAAAATTATTCCATTGCTACTTCATAACTGTAGTTTTGCTACTGTTATGAATAATAATGTAAATATCTGATATGCATGATATTTGACATGTGACCCCCAACATGTCAAGACCCACTGGCTTAAGCCAAAGTTCAAAACAGGCAAAACCAAACATTGTTTGGCAGAGGGATATGAACAGGTGATGGTTATCCTAGAAGGGAGTGATTATCCTAAACTTCAGGACATTGATTACCTTGGTGGTTTTGGTGTGGGTGTGAGCAGTTCAGGTCTTTGAAAGGATTTGCTATAACATGGATGATATTCTAGGAACAGGCCAGACATAGTGCCTTTAATTTTAATTCTTTAACATATGTATTTATTATGCCTTATATATTCTATGAAAATGTAATTGTATTTATTTATTTTGTGTGTATATGTATGTGAGCACAATGTCAGAGGACAGCTTGTTACAGTTGGTTCTCTCCTTCTACCATGTGGTCCTGGAGATCAAACTTGGCGGCAAAGCTCCTTTATTCGCTGAGCATTTCACTAGCTCAAGTGGGATTAATTTTTTAAAAAGTCACAGTTGGCAAAAAGTAAACAAACAACAACTTCCTCTTGCAGTTTTGCTTTTAGAAGCTGGAGGTTTCGTTCTTAACCAAACCAAACCAAGTACAATCATCATGTAAGTTTAGCAATAAATACACTGGTGAGCTCTCTGGAGCCTATAACAGCTACACCCATGTTAGGATATCCATAATTATGTATATTTCGCTAACATTTATGACCATATAATCATAAAGTGAACAATAAATATTGTCTTTCTAGCAAGAGAGATCTTCACACATTTAACAGCAAAACTATCCAGTTCCACATGATGGAGACTGAATGTTATTTGGTAAAATGAACTCCTACTTGATAACTGATTCTCAGTCCCAGAAGTTCTTTGCAGTGAATCATGAACAGTCTAAGATGTTTTGCATAGCAATATTCTAATGGAAAATATGTTTGGGTCTGGATGGTTTGTTTCCTAGCTTTTTGGACATTGAAAGTATCCCTTCTTTGTGGGGGCTGGGACAATGGCTCAATCCATACTGTGCTTGCTACTCAAGCAAGAGGGCCTGATTTTGATTCCAGAACCCAAGTTAAGGAAGTGAGATGTGGTTCTGTGAGCTTGGAAAACAGAGCTGGGGAGGTGAGACAGGCAGATCTGGAGCCTTGCTGACTAATCCATCTAGCTTACTCAGTGAGATCCAATAAGAGATCCAGTCTCAAAAAGCAGTTTATAGCACCACCGGAGGCGTTACCTCCACAAAAATGTCCATGTATCTGTACCTAAATAAACATGTGCATTGTTTGCTTGTACTTTCTTTTTTTTTTTATGAAGCTGTTGGCTTCTTGCTTGATTTCTTTTTTTTATGATTTTTTTTATTCTTTTTTTAAAATTTAGATAAGAAACAAGGTTGCTTCACAAGTCAGTTCCAGGTCCCTCTCCTTTTCCCTCTGCTTGTACTTTCAAACACACACACACACACACACACACACACACACACACACACAACTTTCCATCTTCTCTACCTTTGCGGTTGGGAACCAAACCCAGAGCTATTCCAAAGAGTATAATGTACTTTTAATAAATAAATAGTCAGGCCTGGTGGCATGCACCTTTAATCCCAGCAGTCAGAAGTCAGAGGCAAATGGATCTCTATGAGTTTGAGGACATCTTGGCCTACACAGTGAGTTCCAAGACAGCCAGGGCTGTTACACAGAGATGGCTTGGTAGTTCCAGAGGACTCAGGTTCAGTTCCCAGCACCCACACAGCAGTTTACAACTGTCTGTAACTGCAGTTCCAGAGAATCCTCTTCTGACTTCTATGGGCGCTGTACACAGTATTCATACATGCAGGCAAAACATCCATACATATAGAATAAAATGAACAAAAGTAGAAACATGTCTGAAAGAACATTCATGAAACTGTTAAAGTGGTTTCCTCTGGGGAAGGAAGTGGCATTGATGGTGAGGAGGGAGATAAAGAATGATACTCACATTTTACATGTTTATGTACTTTCAAAGAAAAATTGAGGTATAGTATGTCATTATAAACTAAATTACAAACCAATCCAATTCTGTCTTCGGTTAGATTGGAAAGGGACATGGAGTCTTGTGTTAGAATAACAGTCCTGCCACTCTGCTGCTGAAGTTTACATTCAACAACTCGTACTTGCTGTACTGCAGGCACAGATAAACCTTCAACACTTAAAGGGCCTCATGGGCTGGGTGCCCGAGTTCTCACATCTCACTGACCAGGGGACTGTGTGTGGCTGAGAGGATGTTACTGCCTGTCATCACCCTGCTACTAAGTGGCAGAGAACAAATTCTGGCCCTGGATCTCTGCTTTTAGTTGTATAAGGGTTTTTTGTTGTTGTTGTTTGTTTGGTTGGTTGGTTTTAGTTTTTCCAGACATGGTTTTTCTGTGTAGCCTGGCTGTCCTGAAACTCACTCTGTAGATCCAGGCTAGCCTCAAACTCACAGAGATCAGCCTGTCTCTGCCCCCCCCCCCAAGTGCTGGGATTAAAGGCATGTGCTATCACATGCCTTTACAGTCACATGACTTTTTGAAGTCAGGGTCTCTTGTAACCCAGGTTGGCCTTAAACTCACTCACCAAGGCAGATCTTCCTTCCTCTGCCTCCCAAGTGCCAGAATTACAGATGTGTGCATAATAGCCAGTTCCTCCAGTCTCTGACCTGATCACTTGTACTAAACTACACTCATACATCCAATAAATGAGGCATGTTCTCTCAGCCTAGACTCTTGGGGGAGGGCCTAGGCCCTGCCCTGGATGAAATAACAGACTCTGGAGATCCACCATGGAGGGCCTCATCCTCCCTGGGGAGTGGAGTGGGGATGGGATGGGGGGCTGGAGGGGCATGGTGGGGGGACAGACGGGGGAGGACGGGAGGGAGAGGGAGCTGGGATTGACATGTGAAGCAAGCTTGTTTCTAATTTAAATTAAAAATGCATACTTAAACAAACAAAAAAACAAAAGCACTGTATTATTCATTCACCCCCCAAGGAGCTAGTGTCCCTCATGTCACTAATGAGAAAGCTGGCACTCATCTCTCCATACTTGGAGATACCTGTTTTCAAGTTCACAGATCCACCAGACTTTTGAGCTCCATCATGCGAGGAATCTATTTTATTCTCAATATACCTCTGATAATAAGTGGGCAATTTCGAATGCTATGTGGTGATTTAAAGAGTCTACAAATTCCCTGACACTCAGTTTGAGAGGCAGTTTAATTCCCCTCTCTTGGAGTATTGACCGGATTTAGTGACTCACTTCTAATGAAGAAAATGGAATGAAGAAGGCAGTGTGTGAGCTTAGGAAGCAGGATGTGAAAGTCACATCGGCTCAGTCCAGTGGCTCTCAGCCTTCCTCACGCTGTGACCCTTTCATGCAGTTCCTCATGTTGTGGTGACCCCCAGTCACAAAATTACTACGCTGCTACTTCATAACTATAGTTTTGCTACTGTTATGAATTGTAATGTAAATATCTGATGTGCCGGATATCTGACCCCGGGGGACGGGGGTGGAGGGATAGGGGTGGGGAGGGGGAGTCACGGCCCACAAGTTGAGAACCACTGGCACAGATAACATTATATTTTCTCTGTCCTCTCTGTGTCTATTTCACTCTCTGTCTCCCTCCCTCTCTTCTTCCTTTGTCCCTTTCCC